TGTGGAGGGTTTCAAAAATGAGGAGAGGTGAAGGACAGTACATCGACACCCTCTCTGTGCCCCCCTGCATAAGAAAGTCGGCATGTGAGCGTCTCTCCCCCCCCTCCCCTTTCCCGTACAGCTCGCCCTCCATTACCCACATATTTTTGTAAAAAACTCTTGGGTGCCTCCGGTTGTCCTCCTTGATCCTCCTGTCGGATCGCTATCAAGGGCGGTCGTTGACCCGGCACCAGCACGGGCACGCTCTTGCCTGAATCATCCACTGATGCCTTCACCCATGTCATGAAGGCCGGTGGCGATGACACCGAATCTTCCTTATCCCCCGGGGTCCTCCTTCCAACCTCCTCAGCCACCCGGGCATGATATTGGTCGAGGGGATGTTTTATGTTCTTGCAGGTACTCGGCGAGAGGCGACTCATGCGCGGGGTGTACTCTAATCCAATCAGGCGCCCTTCGACGTCCAGGGTCAAAGTGATGTTCTCACGGAAACCCGCCCGCACCACGTCGCAAAGGTGTACGCTGGTCATGACGACAGGTGAGGATACACCATCGCTTTCTTGGGCACGAAGGCGGTACATGCCACCGTTGAACCCTTTCATTTCCCGAGCGATCTCGTCAAGACTGGCTTCCGGCACCAGAACGCGCTGCTCCTCCGGCGGAGGAATGAGGGTAAGCGCCCCACTATCTACCAACACCTCTACACTTCCGCGATCTTGAAATGCTCCAGTAATTCCAAATGCATGTTGCAATTTATAAGTCACCAAATTGCTGCCACCCGTGAGCCGTGCGAGGGAAAGCAATAGGAGAGGGAGGAGAGGAGCTCGCTGCATTACTGAGGCCCAAGACGATAAGACGGAGCAATTCACCCGACGTCGCAGCTGAGTCTGTCTGTAAAGGGTTTTTAGGAAATGCGGTCGTATTAGAAAACCAAACGCCTTCACGGTCATGCAAAGGTCGTACACAGGAACGTCTGATCAAAGGTGCGCGAGGGATGCTGGATGACAATGGCCATCGTACCAATGCCTACGACTCGTTGCACATGCACATCAACTGGGAACAGACGTGTGTGTGTTGTGTGGGATGGAATATAGCTTGGAGTCCTGCTGCCACGCTGATGTTTCCTACCGAGTACTTCTTAGTAGACCCAACAATATTCCAGCTTACAGCCTCCTTTATGTTTTTCGTTGAAGGGGTTTCAAGCACGCATGGCCAGCCACGAAAAATCTACCGAACATGTGAGGATAGTCCATGATGAAGTCCATCCACAGGGACGTGTTTTATCGTTGTAAATGAGCTTTTACACAACGTTTGGTAACATAAGTTCACCCCGTTGCGCTTCCAAATGAGCGACTTCCGCAGGCGAGATGCGTTGTTTCAGCCCAATCGCAGCAAAACCATCCTCGGACTGGCCACAAAATAAATCAAAAAGAAAAGCACGCGATGGCAATGCTGCGCAGTCTTGCAGCCAGGCAAGAATGTGGACAATTCGTGCATCTATTTGACCAGAGGGGGAAATACACCACACAACATGAGTGAGGAGCTGGGCCTGACCTGTGGATGGAACATTATCGCATGAGTCCAACATCAAGCGAACCATTACTGAGTAAAAGCTCTTTCGACAAGATCAAGACTGCAAGAGCAAGTGCATGTGAAAACTTTAAAATTGCTCATCGTCTAATCTAGCTCAATGTCTGCATCTCACCTTGGAAGTACATTCCCTTTCAACCCTTAGGCTTATCAGGCTTCCTGGGAGGCAGATAATGGCAGTTCTAGATGACGTACTCAACCACATTCTCAATCTTTCCACGGGAAAAGAGGAAGATTATGACGTGAGTACACCGTTCCTGGGTAATTGCACTTGTTCAGCCCTGGAGAGTAAGATTAGTGACACTAAACCTCCCCTCACCATACCGTTTCCACGTTTTCGTAACCGCACGACAGGAACTTCACCGCAAGCTCTCCAACCAAGCAGAGAACCTTCGATCTCTGTCGACGACCACTGCCACAGGGCATGAGGAGCCTCCCCCGCTGCTTCGCGTCTCGCGCGACACGCTCCATCTTCCCGAGCACACCCTAGGCGTTCTCCACCTCCTCGCCGCGCAAGCCCCCACCGTGTCCGTGCACCATGCGTCCTCCCACCGGGAGCACTTCCTGGGAGTGTGCGAAGTATTTCTTGTCAAATTCGACCCGGATCAGGCGGCAAGAGCTGTGAAAGAGTTCGCAGAGCTTGTCCACCGCTACACCGACCTCTTGGGCCATCCGCCCCCGTCGGATGCGGGCCCGGGCGGCGCCGGGGGGGGCGAGGAGGCGGACGACAACAGCATGGGCCACAACAATCTCGGGGAAGAGGCAGAAGTTGCAGCAGAAACGGCTCACCAGCCAGCTCAGGAAGATGCAGCGCCAGCGCCGACCAGGCCCTTGCCCGCAGTCAGGGACTTGGTGCGAGGGCTCCTTCCTCTGGATACGGCCGCCAGGACCCTCGTCACCGACCCGCATTGCCTCACGCCCGTCCACCCGGACCTCCTGCAAGTCTGCCTGGGCGCTGGACGGCTCCAACAAGCCGTGGACTTCGTGCGGGAACGGCCCATATACCGGGTGGACCCGGCTGCCACCGGCGTGGTAGCTCTCGACGTGCTTCGGTACTTCTACTACGCCGGCATGGCCTTCCTGAGCCTGCAGCATCTCCACGACGCGGTGGATTGCTTCAAGGCAGTCATCTCCACACCCGCCCAAGCGCTCAGTGCTGTCGCCGTCGAAGCCTACCGGAAACTCGTGCTGGCCCATGCCCTCCTCCCCACGCCCGCCAAGCCCCTCCCCGCCTCTCCTTCCCCCTCCTCCTCCCCGTCTTCCTCGGGCCCCAGCGCCAGCAGCACCATCGCTGCCGCTCAAATGCGCGCATTGCTTCCCCCCAAGACCTCTCCCATTGTCGCCCGCAGCATCCGTCAACATGCCCTTCCCTACCACGACATCCTCACGGCCGCCCAGGCAGAGGACGCAGAGAGAGTCCGAGGCCTCCTGAGCCAGCATGCGGACACACTGACGGCGCACCAAAACATGGGCCTAGCCCAACAGGTAGGGGCCGGACCACCTCCTTCTCCCCTCCCTCCCCCCCCCCCCTCCCGGCCTCTCCAATCCCGGTCTCCATCCTCTGCCCCGCCGCCCGACACGGTCCTATCCGCTCACAATCTCTCCATCCCTCCCTCTTCCCCCAAACCGTGCCCGTCAGGTTCTTGACCAGATTCCTGTCAGGAAGCTTCGGCAGCTCGCCCGCACCTTCGTGGCGCTGTCCCTCCAGGATGTCGCCGAGCACACAGGCTCGGCCAACCCCGCGGCCGCCGAGCACATGGTCCTGGATCAGGTGGCCAAGGGCGGTGTCTCTGCGACCATTGACGAGGTGGCGCAGATGGTGTATTTTGATGATGACAGGATGGATAACCAGATTGGGTGCGTCCTCCCCTTCCCTCCCCCCCCCCTCCTTCTTCTCGCCCTATCTCCGTAATTCTGCCCTCTCTCCTCGCTCCCCCCCTCCCCCTCCTCTTGTGACCTTTCGGTTAGAAGAACGCCGC